TTTAGCCACATTCCAGGGGGTATATAGTTTCATCTTTTTTAATCCCAAAATAACTAGACCAGAAATTCTGTGCTGGAGTGTTCTAGTTTGCATATTCACGACTTGCCCAGTACTGAATCTTTGAACACGTCCTTTCATTTACATATTTTATGTCTCCCTGGTTCCTGATCCCTTTCCCTCTTTCTGACTCTTCCTTTTCATTCATTCCCACTTTCTTCTTTATCTTTTCAACTCCTTTCTCCCCTAAGATATCTGCACCTTCTGTCATAATGGGAAGCATGGGGGTCATGAAAGAAAATGCAGAAAATATTATTTGGTGTATACATGACCTCCAATCCTAGACTGTAGTATAATCTTCGACAAGCACCAGGAAATTTCTTCCTCCCTGCACTCTATTTCCTTCATCAATTGCTTTCATCAGGTAGCATACATTGGCTTATCAGAAATTTGATATCGAGATACAGTGTGGCTTAGTGGATGGAGAGATATCCTGGGCACCTGGGAGACCTGGGTTCAAGTGCTACCTTTCACACATGACCCTGGGCAAGTCACCTAACCTTTCAGTGCTCTAAGGTTTCAGTTCTTAAGATTATATGGTGCTGATTTGTATTGAAGGAAAGTTCCTCACTAGTGCAAGTTCCTCACCCTATACCAATGAAATCACTACTCTAGTCCTTATCTCTATCTTGCAAGGGGAAGAAATTGGGCTTATCATAGATTTAGAGTTGTAAGGGACTTCAGAAATCATCTTGCCCATAGTACTTAAAATATATATATATATATTATATATGTATATTAAAACTAAAGCCCTAAGAAGTCAAATGACTTGCCTGAGGTGACTCACATTATAAGTGGTTTAGGTAGGATTTGAACCCAGACCCTCTGATGCTAAGCTCTTCATACTTTCTACTATAAATACATTGCGTACCCAAGGTCAACCATCTCCATTTGTTCTCACCCATCTTTGCTACAAGATGATAAGGGAGGTACGCTTGCTCTTACTTTTAGAAAAGGTGGTAGAGGGGACATATTCTAATGGAGATATGTGGGGGTTCTAAACTCTCAGTCTGCTGAGAAGCCAGGATGGAGCTCCTACCTTTACTTACTTAGAAAGAAGGAGCCTGGAGCTCCTTCAGGGGCATGACAATAAGTAGACAACATGGCAACATTTTCCCTCACGTAGGAAGATTGATGGAGGAGAAATCAAGTAAGAGACATTTTCTCATTGAGGGAAAAATTATAGCTGTTAGTTTGGACCAGGCAAACAATATGTTTGTTCCATGAAATACTTTTTTTTTTTTTTTTACAAAGTATTTCTAATAATAATAATGTTGTTGTTGTTCAGTTGTTTCAGTTATGTCTGATTCTTCATGACCCCATTTGTGATTTTCTTGGCAAAGATACTGAAGTAGGTTGCCATTTCCTTCTCCAGCTCATTTTACAGATAAGGAAACTGAGGCAAATACGGTTAAGTGACTTGCACAGGGTCACATGTGTTAGTGTCTGAGATCAGATTTGAACTCAGATTTCCGTGACTCCAGGAATAATAATAACAGCTTGCATTTGTATAGTGCTTTAAAGCCTACAAAATACTTTATACACGATTTCATTTTACTCTCAGAACAACCCTGGGAGGTAGGTGCTATAATTATCCCCACTTTACAGATGAAGGAACTAAAACAAAGAGAGGTTAAGTGAGTTGCTCAGAATCACACAGCTAGTAAATGTCTGAGGCTGGCTTTGAACTCCAGTCTTCCCCACTTTCAGTCAAACACTTCATCCATTATATGACGCTGCCTCCCATGGCTGTGAGTTTACCACATTTATGTGACTACACCCAGAACCTAACGCAGCATCTTGCTCATAATTGGGACTCAAAGATTATTTGTTGAATGAATGAATGAATGAGAAGACATTATGCCTCCATTCCTGAGTTGTGAAGGATAAAGAACAAATATAACTTGGTCTAGAATATAATTAAGTGCTAAATAATGTGGTAGAAATTAGTGTGGGTAAAGCTGGCCACATTCTTTACTCAGAAATGCACTGAATATCTTTGTGAACTAGAGTTCGTTTCTTTATGGAATCAGCCACATGGGAAGGCTGGGGAGTGTGAGTAGGGGTGCAGGTGGGATGAGGGATTTCAGCCTCCAGCTTCTGATTATTTAGCTGGTTTTGAAGAAGGGAAAGTGTGATTTGGGGAAACCATCATACACACTCTTCCTTACTTCCCTATTTGAATGAATGAATGAAAAAAGCATTTCTTAAACACATGCTAAGCACAGTGCTATGGCTAGTGTGTTTTTGAGCAATCTGTTCAGAGGATGAGGGGCTTGTGGCTTGCTATGCAGGGCTTCCTTTCTTGTCTGAGTAAATTAGTGGAAATTCCCTCGTGAAATTTGGTGTAAAAGAAAGTTTGTACCACTGGAAGGAATAAATCTCTGCCTGTTGTCTGCTTCTCTTCAGAATTTCACTCTCTGAAAGTTCATGTGATCAATTCAAATCCATTTTAAAAAGCATTTATTAAGCACATATTATATTCAAGGCACTTTGTCCCTATCCTTAAGGAGCTTACACTAACAGAATTAGAGAATTAGAGCTGGAAAGGACAGTAGAGGTCATCCAATTCCTCATTTTTGTGGATGAAGAAACTGAAATCCAGAAAGGTAGAAAAGTGACTTGTTCAAGGTCACAGAGGTAAACTGGAGAGTTGGAATTTGTGTTAAAGTAGTCTGACTCCAGGTTCAAGGTTCTTTTCATGGATCCACCCCATCTCCTTGTCTACCTGAAGGGGTAGATACAGCTTTTAGTACCTAAAGCTGATGCTCATGTAGAGCTGGGAATGGGCAAAGTGTGGGTATGTGTGTGTGTGTGTGTGTGTGTGTGCTGGTTGTGTATATGGGTGGTGGTAGTTGTGTGTTTGTATGTGTATGTGGGGTGTGTGTGTGGTGTATATGTGTGTAATATGGGTGGTAGTGATTGTGTGTGTGTGTGTATAGTAGTGGTGTGTGTGTGGTGGTTGTGTATATGGGTGGTGGTAATTGTGTGTTAGTATGTGTATGTGATATGTGTGTGTGGTATATATGTATGTGTGAGTGGTAGTGATTGTGTGTGTGTGTGTGTATAAATATGTGTGTACATGTGTGTGGTGGTAGGTGGGTATATGTGGGTGTGGTATGTGGGTGGTGGTGATGGGTGTGTGTATATATGTGTGTGGGAGTGATGGTGGGTGTGTATAGGTGTGTGTGTGTGTGTGTGTGTATGTGTGTGGTGGTAGTGGTGGTGAGGAGCATAAATGAACATTGTAGTCACCAGAGAGAAAGAAGGTAAAAACCAGATGAATTCCACACAGTATGGTAACAGTGCTTCATTATTGAGAGCCTCTCAGGGAGGAATTCTTAGTCTCCAAGATCTCAGGTTTAGAAATGAGAGGATTAAGAAGGGGAAAAAAAAGGGGTGGGTGGGGGGTGGTTCTTTTGTTTTGCCTGGGGAACAAATACCTACGTGAGGGAAAATGTTGTCATGTTGTCTGCTTGTTGTCATGCCCCTTCCACATCCCATCTCAAATCCACCTCTCTCTCCTTCGGGTCCCCTCCCTGCCAGGCTCAGGAGAACTCCAGATCCCTGTGTTGATTTCCTTACCATCTGGGGTTGCATTAAGCACCTTCTTCACATGCACCATCCAGCCTATTGCAAAAGGAGCTCACTTTTAGGCAACCACGATCAATTCCTGACGAAGGAGAGCTTCTAATTAGAAGTGGAGCCTGTGGGGTTGGCGTTATTGGGCCCTCCTTTCCTCAAAGTGATAAATTTAACATGAGCTCTGGGGCCTTGCCAGCCTCGGCTCTGAGAGGGCTGTGGGTCACAGGAATGCCAAGTGGAACCGTTTCCTCTGCCCTGACTGCTAGCCCCGCTTCTGGGAAGTCAAATCCTGTGAGAAGGGATGGTAGCAATCTCTCTTCTCCTAATGGGGAGGTCTTGCTGATCCCCTCCTAATGCAGAGAAAGCTCCTTTTTGCAGAGAGAAATAGCACATGTTATTTCATTTGATAATTACAACAACACTACGAGGTAGGTGTGATTATTGTCCCCATTTTACACCTGAAGAACCTGAGACAGACAGTGGTTAACTGACTTGTCCAGGGTGACATAGCTAGTGAGTGTCTAAGGCAGACACTTGAATTTGAACTAAGATCTTCCTGACTCCAGGTACAACATTCTATCTATTGGGCCACCTAGCTAACCCAGTCGTTACGAGGGTTTTCTTTATCTTTTTTTCTCCTGGGGCAAGAGGTGATGAAAGGGAGAAAAAATACTTCTTAATTAAAAATTAATTTAAAATTAAAATTTAAAATTAATTAAAAAATAAAACAAACAAAAAACCCAAGGAGAAATAGTATGCCTGCTGGCTGCCTGTGTTAGAAATGCATTTCTTGTCACACTGACAGCTCTGGCTAGCTGGAGAGATGAACAAAATTCCCGTCGACAGGCAACCTGGCCTCTATGCTAGTAAGTTGGGCAAGACTGCCTGCTGCCCTCTAGGATGAAGGCATGATCATTCTCCAGCTCCATCTCCAGACTTGAGATGGAGAGCACAACACCTGCTCACAGCTGGCCGTAGAAAGGGTCCTTCCTAGCTAGAGCAGCCAGTGTATCAGTGAGAGAGTTCTTAATGTTTTCTTGGGGGAAAGGAAAGGAGGGAAAGATTCTTCCCTAGGGCACCAGGAAGGTCTACTCTCTGGCTCGTGTGTCAGGTACTCTCTCTGCTGCCTGATTCCATCCCCCAACCCCCTTTTTTTAAAGTATCACTTCTTTCTCCACCTGTTGTCATGGGACAAAAAAGTCAGGCATTACAGAAGGGTAGTCTAGTGAAGTGAAATGAAAATAGAATAGAAAATCAGAATGTTCTGGGGTCCCCTTCTCCCTTCCCTCCCACCCATAGCCACTTTTTAAAAAAAATTTTGGAGACAAAAAAACCATACATAATAAAAGACAACTCACCTCTGCTCCATCTGCGGGCCAGGGAAGCTTGAGCATTGTAATACAGCAGGAGAAGCATTAATGTCTTCCAACACATCTTTTACTTCAAGAAGCGAAAAACACCTTTAAAGCCACACAGAACCCCAATATCTGTGGGTGTTGCAGCATATAATTCGACTAGGAAGTGTGTATCTTTCTTATTGCCCTTCCCCTCTCAGAAATGGAGAAACGCCTTCCCCTTTCTTTGGAAGGAAGGGCCTGCCTGCCCTCCTGGGTGGGACAGAAGTCAGCACCTCTTAATCCAGCTCTCTCTGGAATTGGGGGACTCCGCTTTCACAGACAGACTCTGTTTTTGAGCACATCTGGAGTGACTCATGGGGCATGTGATTTCCTTGGCAGAAGGGTGGATAAATATAATTTCTGTACTTAAGTTCCATGTGTTGGATGGACCCACTGGAACTTTTCTTTAGCAAACAGACACAGGGAACTTCTTTAGGGAGCCTGGTGAAAGGTTGACTCAGTTCTCCATGGTTCCTGGGACACAGTAGCAGGAAATGGAGAGAAGATGAACAAGGATGCCTAGTCTAGCATGGAAGTATCATAGCCTTGGGGACCTCAGGACAGCAAAAGCATTTCGTCGCCTGAGGCAGGATATCAATTTGATGTTTTTCTCTAGGGACAGAACTAGGAATTTCTTTGCCTGGGGCCAAGCCTGAGAGCTATTTGCTAGAGTATGAAAGGGAGGAAAGTTCCTAATTTTTGTCATCAGGCTTCAATGAAAGAGAAGCTCTGATGAGAGGCATCATGGTATTGTGGATAGGGTACTAGACTTGGAGTCAGAAAGACTTGAGTTCAAATCCCGCCTCAGACACTTATTAGCTACTCCAGCCTTGGCAAACCTCTTGGCCTTAGCTTCCTTATGTGTAAAATGGGGGAGATGAGTTGACCTCTAGGACTTCTAAGGCCTAAATCTATGATCTTATGAGAAGTGAAGATAACAAATGTTGAACAAGTAACCTAATGCAGTGGTGTGCTGAAAAAAAAATGTATGCAGAGCCCACTTTGGTTTGATATGTACTTTTTACATTTTCTCCATCACTTTCTTGAGTAGGGAGTACAGTGTGCTCTACAGCACTAGGCTTGGAGTTGGGAAGAGCTGTGTTCAAATCCAGCCTCAGATGCTAGTTGGGTGATCTTGGGCAAGTTACATAACCTCTATTTGCCTCAGTTTACTCAACTGTAAAACTGGGATAGTAGCAGCATCTCCCTTGCAAGGTTATTGAGAAGATTAAATAAGATGATATTTATAAAGAGCTAAATGATTATTCACTTCACTTCAGTTTGGACTGTCAGCAAAATAAATCAAGCCCTGATTTATAGAATTTGCCAGTTTTTGCAGTATAAATGTTCACACTGAAATTTTGATAATCAGCTCTCTGGAGAGCCATAGGAGCTGGCTCCAGCATGTCCCTACTAAGAAATAGCCTAGATCAGGGAGTGCCTAAAACTGGAACTTCTGGTCAGTGCTTTCTGCCCTTCTCTAGTCCACTTGGGCTATCATTGTATGACTGTCTTTTCTATCCATCTAAATGATTGGGATTTAACAATTTTATTGGATTTAAAATGATTTGATTAATGTTTATTTTTATTTAAAATTTTATTTTTATGTACTGCTACAGAGGATAGAACATTTTTTTTCCTGTCTCTGAATTTGTCCTTTAATTTTTTCTCTTTTACTTGTGTTAATATATGGCTAGCATTTATGTATTTATGCCTATAAAATTGTGTTTGATACTTCACAAATATTTATATTTGACACTTTACAAAACACTTTACAAATATTATTTCATTTGATCCTCATAACAACCATGGGAGAGAGTTGCTATTATTATCCCCATTTTATAGGTGAGGGAACTGAGGTACAGAGAGGGTACATGACCAGGGTCACATAATTGATAAGGGTCTCAAGTTGGATTTAACTCATGTTTTTGACTCCTGGTCTGGCATTCTAGCCACTGTACCACCTAGCTGTCTGGTGACAGCTATTTATTTTATAACATTATTGTGCTATATTACAATCATATTATTATTATTATTTTATAATATTAGCTATGTTTTAGGCTGGTCTCCCTGACTGGACTATAAACTCATCAAAGCTCGCCTCCTAACCAGCGTCAGGCATGTGCTTGGTGCTCAATTAAAACACAATGATTGATTGAATAAGGGCTTATGGAGCTCAGTCTTTTTCAGTCCTTTACCTAATAGATCTTACAGGAAATAAGAGAGCTGGTGCAGATAGAGATGCAGGGAGTGAGGAATATGGATGACTTACTCCAGTTTCCATCCCGACAGTCAGGACCCAACTTCTGTAATTTTTTTCATCTGGTCAGACATCTGGTCTAAGTCTCTAATCTACCATTTGTCATTTACTTAACTATTTCTGTGTCTGCAGCTAATTTATGATGAGCTAAGGAGTCATTTTCTCCTACTGCTATGATATGCTATATGCAGTATATTGCCATAGTTTCCAAAGGTGGGTAACGTAAGTCATGGGAAATTCTGGCATCATACATCTCCTCTTGCTTCTCACTACAGTCCTGAGTATAGGGGTAGAGAGTGGGAACGAAAAGCACATTAATGCCCTTTTGCAACATAGTAAGAGTCCACGAATTGATTAGAATCTCTCAGATTTGTTGGATATCATGAAAAGTGACTGAACCTGATCAAATCTAGAAAAAAAAATCCATGGTTGAGGTGACAAAAATTTAAAGGCATTTTTAAAAGAGGTAGCAAGCAAAGGAAGCAAGATTCCAGAAGTATGGCAAAGATTCCAGATAGCGTTATTAAAAAAAACCCAAAATAGAAGACACCCACCAGCCACTATGAACATACGTGGCTGCTCTCTTCACGTATCAAAACAGGTCTACGAAAATGGTTTATTGCACATATTAAGGTCAGCCTTGATGAAGACATGAAAAAGGAACAAGTTGGCTTCCACAGATGCTTTTATACATCAGACCACATTTTGTGGTCATACATTTGACAGATGGGGGTGTAGAGAATGGAAGATGCTACTGGCCTTACTGTTTCTTGATCTTAAGAAGGATTTGATTTAGTAGAACAAATCTAGCTCTTCTCTGTCACAGTGTCTTCTGTTCATGGATTAAAGGTGAATGTGATGAGGGTTCCCTGGCTTTCCCAGAACCAGGCAGGCTACATCTCCTTCCCAGGCCTCAAGGTTCTAGGGTACCCTAAGTGGTTGGAGTGTTGCTTCCTAATGCTGTTGACTAGATGAGAGCCCCTAGCTCTCTCTTTTAGGGACCTGTGACTAGCATCTCACTTTATTTAACCACTTAACATCAATTAGATTTTACAAACATACATTGAAGAAATAGACGTTTTCTCTCCACACCTCAGCAACATGCTTTCCTCTATACTGTCTTAGTTTCTGGGGAGAAAGCTTAAGACCAAGCTGAGTTTCCACACAGCATTGGTCCCACCAAGTTCATTTCCAAAGGCACATCACTGCTGTATGAATCCTCAATTTAGGTGCCAGTGGCCTGGGTCTAGAAGGTCACTTTTTGTTCCTCTGGGCATTGATGCTGGGTTGGTTGTAACATGGCCTGGAAACCAGGGTCTCGAGTGACGGGGTGCTATAGTACTCTCAGGATAACCTTTTGAACTGACAAAGTCATAAACTTCCAGTCTCTCTAATAATAATAATGATAATAATAGCTAACATTTATATAACTCCTACTATGTGCTAGGCACTGTCCTAAGTGCTTTACAAATATCTCATTTGATCTTCACAACAGCCCTGGGAGGTAGGTGCTATTATGACCTCCATTTTACCGATGAACTTAGGCAAAAAGAGGGTAAGTGATTTTCCCAGGGTCACCTAGCCAGTAAATGAGTGAGGTTGAATTTGAACTCAATTTTTCCTGACTCCAGGCCCAGCATTTTATCCACTGTGCCACCTTGCTGCCTTATCTTTATCCTAGAGTAGAAAAGAAGAAACAGAAAAACCAAGGACTGAGGCCATATGGCCTCAGAGGAGAGAAGGATCTAAAGCTTTCCCTTTTACTGCATGATCAATCACTAGATATGATGAGTGAAAAATTCACTGAGCTCCTCCAGATGTGAATGAAAGCAAGAGGCTGTGGTTGATGCTGATAAGTCCAATCCAAGAGCCTCCTTTCTACCCCATGGCTAACTGAGCATTCTAGTTAAGGAATGTCTACACATGGTAAACAGTTTCTTTGTAGATCATGTCATTCCCTTACATGTCATCATTGTTTTCCCAGAAGTCAGCTTCTCTGTGGGGAGACGTATCAACCAATCAAATTGATGGGGTCTGTGCACCCTCTAGACCTCCATTACATAAACAAGATTATGAAAGATATAACTACAGAAACAATGTTCATAATCCGCTGAATATTTGCTTCAAGTGAAAACAGTCGATACACTCCCCCCTCCTCCCTCCAGCTTCACTCCTCCTGAGTTTGTGACACCCTCTCCCCCCAATATATACAGAGAGTCTGGAGAGCGCATCTAGCGGAGGGGCAACTCAACTCCTGGCTGCTGGAAGTCCTTTTTTCCTTTTTGTGGGCTACATGTGAAGTCTCCCACCCATCCCAAGAAGTTCCCCCATGGTATGTTTTAGTTCTCTGTTAGTCTTTTAGATGCAACTTGGAGCTTCTTTTCCTTTTTGTGTCTAGTCAGTCCTTGGCTCTCAATGCAGGCACTGCTTCTGGTTACTACTGTTCCAGGGGTACTGCAAGGATGCTGATGGAAAACCTGGGTCCTCTGACACTCTAAGTTCACAAGCTCTCCCTCTGACCAAAGCAGGAGGGGTAGGGCAGGAAACTGAGACTGAACCTGAAGCTGGGGCTCTTCTCTCCCAGCTCCAAGCAATCCCTTCTCAGGGGCTTGTCAAGGAGGCTTCTGCCACTTTAGTTGCCAAATGGGCTAATACTCTGTGTTTTTTAATCTTTTTAAAAATTTTATAGATGGTCCACAGGGCATGACCAAGTTTCCTCAACCAATCTGAACATACTTTCTATGCAACGTGACTCCCATTCATGCAAATAGCTCTCAAAGACATCAAAACTGATCAGAGTATTTCCCCAATGTACTCTAAAGCCTATGGTCGGTTCAATTCAGAAGTGTTCTTATCTGATTAAGGCAGATTGGAGATTACTACTTACGGGGGCAGAGCAATTGATTTATTGAGATGGACTTCCAGGTCACACATACAAACAGTTGATGAATTAGTTAAAAACCATCATTAACTGTTTCCTAAAGCTGGTCCCCTGAAAAC